CAGCGAGGTGGAAGCGTGCATTGCAAACCTCCCGGCACGGAGAGCTGAGCTCCTCTCTGGAGGCCCAGCTATGGTGTGGCACATGTCCTCTTGGCACACAGAACCCTTGCTTCCTCCCAGCTTCTCAGCAACATGAACATGTCAGTAGGATAAAATGACGTGGCAAACCGAAAGCAAAACTATCCCTGCTGCTGGGACACGGGTCCTGGAGGTACTGCCAAACCAGCTTCAACAGCAAGGACCCAGCAGCGTAGAAGGGGCGCAAGTTTTGCCTTTTGAAGAAGTGAGTGGTCCAGGTTATGCAAAGCGGTCTCTACCTCAGTTCGTGGCTCTTCAAGAAATGTTAACCCTCCTTCAGCTCAAGGGTTTCAGCCAGGCATCCTTGAGCCCACAGTGGGCACAGCATTAGTGTGCACTCAATAAGCAGCATCGCTGTTTCCTCCAACTTGCTAATTTAAACCTGACATCACTGTTTCAAGTGGGAGTCAATCTGCTAAGGAAACAGAGCACCTACAATAGCACCCAATTATTTAGAAAAAAAAACACAAACAAGTAGAGGAAGTTTTTCCTTCTTGAATCTCAGAATAGAAGCTGAATTAGTAAGAATTTGTCTTATCCCAATGAAAACAATCTGCTCTTCCCCCAAAAAATGAGGGTCAGAGATACGTAACTGAAAGCAGAATAAAACAGTAGAGTCTAGCCTGTAGGTATACAGCAACACAGCATTCAGCTCGCAAGAGGCCCCAGGGTGCTGAGCAGCTGCCTTGCACTCGTCAGCCAGTTCGCAGGACACTGCCCCAGCTTCCCACAAAAGGCACAGGCAGACAAACCCCATTTCCTTCTCTATACACAGCACTTCTTAAAATGACAACCCTTTTTGCTTTAGAACTGCAACTTAGTCACATATATATCTTTTTTTCTTTCAATACTAAATGGACAACAAATTGTTTACTCCCTGTGCATGCATTATTTGACCTTCTGTCACACTGCAGTCCTCTCACCTTTTGGCAGTTTGGGCTAACCACTTGTAAGAACCTATTTCAAGGAATTCACTTTGCACATCAGGAAGTTCCTAACTTTTAGAAGACATTTAAGACAAGAGGCTATCCTTCGTCTAATTTAAAAGCTACTTCGCATTAATGGCTTCCTTGGTCCAGCTCAGCTAGTGTAACTTCACAGCAAAAAACCTAAGGACCAGTAAAAGCAGGGACAAAGCAATGTACAATTTTGCAATAAACTATCTCTAGATCAGTGTAAGCTCATTGTAGCTACTATTTTGCATAATACTTTAAACATAAGCCATTTATCTTTCTATAGTTTGGCTTTGTTGTTTTTTTCCTGTAAACTTGCAAATAGTTTCAGTTGTCTCCACGCTTTCCTGAAAGAAAGTTTACTTTCATTTCTCAGGAAACAAAAAGCTAAAGTCACAAACAACTGTCAGCTTTTGGTAAAGTTTTTATTTCCTTTCAGTCACTTAATTTGCTTGCTGTGTATGGGGGTTTGCAGGTTGGTTGTTTTTTTTTTAGCGAGTTGTGGGACTTTTTCTATGGAATGTTGGGGATTTCTGGAGTGTTTTGGGGTTTTTTTAAGAGCTTGGCTTTAATTATTTAGCATTAGTTGAAGTGATATACAAGTAGAAATAAAACACCTGGCACAACATATCAGTCAGAAGCTGAACACAAGACATAATTGTTATGTCCGCTGACAGTATGCAATATTATCCAATATAATAAAAAAGCCCCTAAATTTTTACCATTTCTGTGTTAGGTAATAACAATTGTTCTTATCTTGAAGTTGCATGCAAGAATACAATGCTTTCCTGAACTCCTTAGGCATGACCTGTCCTGCAGCTGCTCCAGCCCTCAGCTGGGATCAGGATCCGGGCTTCCTGGCACTAACGTCTTGCTTGCCCAAGTACTGACGTAGCACCTAAGATCTTCCAAACCTATGAATTTCTTCCACTGGCAAATTTTCTTCAAGTAAGAATTTGCAAATGCCAGAGTAGCATGTACTCTGAATCATACCCATTCCTTAGCAAGCAGGCACGCCAAGAGAAGACATCATCATGCAACCCCGTAACACCACAAGAGGCCACATCTCTTCCCTTCTAAAAGGATCCGAGTGAATGATGACAAGCATGATGCTGGTATCTCTACACACCGGACATTAAAGAAAAACCTTTAAAAAACAACGGTTCTGTGGAACGGCTACCAGTAAGTCAGACCAACAACAGCAACACTGCTATGAAATTGCATATCAAGTCCACTGCACAAGCTCAGTTTCCAGTACCAATGAGAAACCTCTGGACATCTAGATTAAATGCAAGTTCTGTCTTGGTTTACACAGCATTCACCCACTGATTTATGTCAGTTTTTCCCTTGCAAAATGCACAGTTTTGAAACAGAAAGTTTATCTACACTGCACAACAGAAAGTAGAAATTAACAGCCAACCTAGTAAGAAAACCTGAGTGGGCGAATTCACAAGTCCATTTGCAGGGACTGACATGCTCAAGCCTCTACTAGTTCAGGCGTTCTGTCCTCCGTGCTCTGTTATACAGACCATGCCACTAAAACGCTGAAACACTACAGATCATACAGTCTCAGAGTAAAACATATTTGTATCTTAAAACTCACATTAACTGAGCAGCGATGTATTTTTAAACCTCATATCCTATACAGTCCTCCTACACAAAAATCTCACAGCATGAGCTCGTTCTAGTAACGAAACCCCAGTGCCAGTGAAGGATGTACAACGAGAGCTCAACATCCTTACATTAATATTAGTCACAGAAGAAATAAGAACTTTGTTTCCTTAAGTTACATCTTTGATCATCACCAAGGGTAGCTAAATCAAGCTGCGGAACATAAATCGTTTCTCACACAGAGATGCTATCTGTGAGACTTCAGAAGGTTACTCTTCGCTACAGGTTATCAGGAGTTAAAACCACCTATTTTCTCAGACTATTATCAGAAAAAGATTAATGATCAAGTATGATTGCCTACAGATGTGCTGGGACAGTAACTTTCAAACTTCTCTCTTCTCATCTCTTCTATCTCAAAGACAGAAATAATAATCTCTAAGTGTCATGAGATTTTTCTAGTGGAAATATATAAGCTCAGGCTTTAAAATAATAGTTTTCTTCTTTAAATCCTAAACAAAAGGCTTCCTTTAGTGTAAAGCAACAGCACTCCAATTCTTCTGCGAAATATAGGTGTTTCACCCCTTCTTTTTACTTAACTTGAAGGCGTTTCCTCTTAATAACCCGAACATAATCAGAAAGAATAATTGCTGCTGCAGTAACTACGTAATTTGGTTTAAATAGAAAACAGCCCGATCCATCAGTTCTTACAGTCAGTGGAGTTGTCCTAGGTGCTCTGGGCTGAAGTCTTCAACATTTTATGGCCTACAGAGAGACTGGCACCTGTCCTTCCTTACCCATTATGGACATGTAATGATTATATTAAATTCCAGGCAGTGGAAGAGTAAGATACTTAAGGAACTTCTCAGATAGTACATGAGATTATTACCAGCTATTAATTGAGAGCAAATATTGTCTGTAAATTTTGTAACCCTAAAACGGAGTCAAGGTTTTTCTGTACACAAACATAGAATGTTCATGGATAGCCTTTCCACTGCAGAAGTTTTTTTAGTTAACATTCAATTGTCTCCTGTCTCAAGGAGGAGGAAAAAAATTGGTAACAACCACCAGACCATCCAATGCAGCAGAGGATACTCCCAGTAGGCCTCTGGGAACCCCAGAATGGCAGCATTAGCAGATAAATATGCGCAAAATGTCCTTCGTATTTAACAGAAAACAGAGCTATCCTTTCTATACTATAGATGTTCACAAACAGCAGAGCTAAGGTACTTTAAGTGCCTATATTGATTTGTAAAAGGAAAAAAGAAAGAAGGGCAGGGAATTGGCACTTTTATAATTTCTAGACAGGAAAGAATAGACTCATGTTTGTTTGGCAAAGTTTTGGTTTCAGGGCTTGGAGCACAGGAGAGGAAATACTAGCTTTCAGTGCAAGATGTTGGATGAAATCTCATTTACTCTTCCTATTTGAAAAGCTACAACACACTTGAGGTGAAACAGGTCTGATTAAGGTCCAAAAATGTTTCTAGTAAGCAGGGGAGAAGAAAATAAGTTTAAAACCCAGCAATTTTGGCTTATTAGCAAATGAGAAAACACAGCTGCTAACACACTGCTAGAATAAGTGATTCTCAGTACCTCAGAGTCTCTAAGTAACCAAATACCTGGGAAGATGAAGGAACCTAAACCAACAAATTGTTGGGCCCTTCAAGAGAAAGCTTCCATTAATATCCTGTATGCAATATTTATGTATTTATGCACACCCATGCAGTTCTGCTGACTAAAATTAGTCACAGCATCACAGCAAAGTTTATGAAATTGCAGAAGAGTAAACGAGATCACCATAAATAAATACATTTTTAAAAAAAAACAGAAGCAACACACCACACACTAACTGTACAGCATCAGAAGCTGGATGGAGAGACCTTCTTTAAAGGCAGCAATCAAGGCTCCATTGCTGTGGCATTCTGACAGCGGCCTGGGGGCAACAGACCAGCTCAAAGAGCACCTTGATGTGCTAGTTTCTCCCAAGTTCCATCAGTTAAGACAGATCTACAGAACAGACACGTCATGAGTGGTGACTTGAAAAGTACAGGTTGAAACAAAATAATCATGCACATTTAACTAACATATCATCAGATTAAAGTGGATTATTCTAATTTCTAACACCAGAAGCAGCATATGTAAGATCAGCATGTACTATGAAAGAATTGAAGACAAAAATCCCTTATGGGGATTTGGAGAAGACTCACTGCATTACATCTATCTGGAGGAGAGGCAAAGACTGCTCCTGTCAGGAGTGACAAGAAAAATACCTGCCTTTGACAAACAGAAAGAAGCAACCATCGATATTTCAGGACATAGCTGAACTTGATCACCCTGGAAGGTGAGGATTCCTTTATTTAAAGAAAAACTGCTGGTCCAGTCATCTGGTTAGACTAGAAAGACTACAGATGGCCTGCGTCCTTTCCTCACTTGGGGCTTTTTAAACAGGCTAGTAACAAAAGACTCCTAGTTGTCATAGTGAAAGACAGGACGATTCTTTTCCAAAAAAGTTTCAGAGACTGGGATTACTTCCTCTTTAAGACAGCACAAAATGAACTTTACTGCTTTCCACTTCTTAGTAACTAATTTTCAAAAATTTCCATTCTTCTCGAGTTAACGTGCACTAAACAGGAAGACAAAAAAT